GGTGGATGGGGCTGGAGTGTAGGGGCGCGCGGCCGCCCGTTGTAGCTGGAGGCTGCCTGGCGAAATGGCTAAGCTTGGCCGCGGCTGCTCGGTGCTCTGCGAATGTGGGCGATTTGTGAATGAAGCTGGGTTTTGTGTGAATGAAGCATTGAGCTTCCCTCAAACCGCGGGGGTGGGGGCTGAGTCTCTCTCCTGGGGCTGTGGGGGCGGGGGGCTCATCTGAAGGCGTTTCATGAATGGGGAAAGCTGGGAAGTGTGTGCCTTGTTTTGTGAATGGGGCCCTGCGCTGGGGATCCAGTTACACTCTACCTGCTGCTGCTCCCTCTTCCATTCATAAAGCTAAGGCCAGTTTTGTGTTGTGGGGGAGGGGATGCTAATTGTATTGTTTGGCTGTGTTAAAACTTTCTTGGGGGCACAGAGAAGGGAACAGGCAAGGAAGGGGCTGAGCTAAATACACGAGGTCTAAAAATGCTGCTGTTATGAAATAACTGGGCCCAAGCCTAGTTGGGAAGGAGTTTTGGATTCGAGGCGTCTCTTTTGCCTTCTTTCCTGCACGGCTGTGTGTTGGAGCAGGACTCTGACATTTTAAGAGCGGGCTTCAGGCTGTAAGACACGATGAATGCTCTTTGGATGTGGAAGCTGGAAAACTCCCTCCCCTCCTAGGTGTTATGAAACTTGTGGTGTACATTTTTTCGCTGCGTGCTGAATATTTAACGACTAAATTCCTTATTTCTGTTTATGGAGAGGGGAAGTGGAAGGCATATGCTTTAAAAAAAATCTGCTGAAAATGTAGAGGCACGACAATTTTGCTCTCCATTTCACACTGCAACTACCCCGGGTTTTCAAAAAGCAATTCAGCAAAAGTTGCTCTTTGATTAATTTACAAGAGCCCAGCTTCTGGTGCGGCAAGAATTGCATCAACAGCACGAGGGAGTAGTGATTTTCCACTTCGGGTTGGCTTCGGTGTCACTGAATATGTAGAAAACAGTTGCTTTTTGTGATTGAGGATTTAACTTCTCGAACAGCCCGTGAGGGGCTCAGGAAGACGCAAGTGCTTTTCTTGAAACAATAATTTTTATTCCATTGAGATGCTTCCTAGAAAAGGATTGTCTTTCCCTGGAAGTACCCAGAAGAGTTAAACTTTGTTTTCTGTTGTCTTCTGATAGATTAGCTCTTTCATATCGTTAAGTAAACTGGGACTTACTTTCCATGGACGTGTTGCTATTTATAGCTATCTTTTAGCCATGTAGAGAGAAAATATTTGTACTCTGGGCAATCTGATCGCTTGCTTGTAATCCACGCCTTGGCCCATATGCTTGCTTTTAAGCAGTTGCAATCAATCATTAGTGATGTCACAGCAGTTTCCATGGTAACTCTGTGACATCACAAAGCACAGGTTATGACCTCTTTGTTCCAGCTAGAAGTGAAGTTATAGAGGAGAAACTTGTGGCTGAAGATGATCAATCATAGCAAGTTAATTGGCAAGGGGAGAAAATATCAGAGAGTAAATGGATTAGTCTTTAAACATAGCGTGTTTGTGTGTGTGTTAATTGAGCCCAGCAGTTAATCTTTAAAGCTCGCAGGCAGGGTTCATTCCATGCCATTAGAGACGGGGAAGTCTGGGCAGGCTTAAAGGCGGATCTTGATGCTTTGCATCTTTTTTGTTCCTCAGCGTTCGATCCGCCAGAGCAGCAACTTGAAGAAACGCCTCCTTCTCTGGACTTGGCTTCCATGCTGAAAACATTCAAGGGGATACTAAAGAGATCGGAAGCACCATGGACGGCTTCTATGATCAGCAAGTCCCTTTCATGGTCCCAGGGGTAAGTCCCGTTTGCCTCGCGCGTCCTTGTTGTGTTTCATCTCTCCTGCCATGAGGTTTCCTGCCTTTGGCTAGTAGGGGCTGTCTGCCGTACGCTGGCCGTGTCCTTCATGGAAATACACGCTCTCTCTTTCAGCAGCCCTGCCCGGAGGAGTGTCGAGGCCGGCCAGTGACGGATAGAAAAAGGAAGTTTTTGGACACGGATCTGGCGCATGATTCAGAAGGTTAGCTACGTGTCCTGCTCTTCACTGAGATTCAGTTGAAGTTGTGGCTGGTGCCTTTTTGCTTCGTACGAGTGGAATCTTTCTGGAGCTGTCCTACACAATCCTTTTATTTTGTTTCAGAGCTGTTCCAAGATCTCAGCCAACTTCAGGAGGCATGGTTAGCTGAAGGTAAGTCTTCATCTCGGCCCTCATTCCATATAGCACTTTCTAATGCAGGGGTGGGGAACTTCAGGCCCGGGGTCCAGATGCGGCCCTCAGCTTGTCTGGATCTGGCCCCCGAGGCTCAGGGCGCCCCCCAACATTGGGGAGCCTGTGTTGATGCTCCAGTCCCCCACTATCCGCCCATGGCTGTGTGTGTGGTCCCCGGCTGATTTCTGTGGGTCACCGGCCCCCAACTCAAACAAGGCTCCCCGCCCCTGTTCTAATGGGTGTGTCTTTGGAGCAACTCGCGCCTCTGACAGCCGCGTCATTCTTTTCCAGCCCAAGTTCCTGACGATGAACAATTTGTCCCGGATTTTCCGTCCGATAACTGTGAGTAACTCTGTGGGTTTTGCTGGGAAATGCGTTGATTCGCTGATGGAAGTGAATGTTCTGCAAAATGCCACGCCGCTGTTCCTTCCTGTATCGCTGTGCCACAAGTGCCACTGTTTTTCTGCGCGCGCTTGTCATGGGCCAGGCTTTCGAGGAAGGTCGCATGCGGGCTTGCATGGCGTTGGCTCCTGGAGCCGAGGCGGGGCTGTGTGTCTAAGCCCTCTGACTTGACTACGCAGCTGTGTGAAGATAGTGTAGCACTGGGACCTTAGATCTCTGGGGTTCTCTTGTACACCCACTCGCTGCCTGTCGCACAATAGCTTTGAGGCTCACTCCGGGAGGAACGCAGGTGCAGCGCTTCTTGGCTCGCTAGTGTCTCTGGGGCGGCCTTGACAGCCACCGCACTTCCCGAGTTGTAGCTTAGGGAGATGGTCAAGGGCAAAGCTGACTGGTGAAACTCGAGCAGTGTGCATTAGTCACTGGCAAGCAGACATGTTGAAGAGACGATTGATGAAAATGCAGTCCCTGGTGAATTACATCAGAGCGGGAATTGTTCCTTACTCACCGCGCCTGATGGATAACACCTGAGCCCGTTAGAGCACCTATATTTTCCCCCCCTTTTCTGTGCAGCAAACGGCTGGTCTGTATAACCTCTCGGGGTGTGTTTTGGACCAGCCGGGCTGGCATCAGAGGCCAAATCAAAGTAGGATGTTCCTGGATTGTTAGCTGCAAACATAAATACCGCCAGGGTGTTTTATTAATAGGCCTTTGTGCTAAGTCATCCTGCTACCGAATCGAGCGTAGCCTGCGGTCGAACAGATTCTTTGCTTCGACTTTGTCACAGCACGCCGCCCGGGATCGCAGGCTGGCGCAAATGCACGTTAATTACCGCTCTGTGATTGCTTGGGAGCGAGCGGGCAGCTTGCGTTCGGCTGCCTCGCGATGAAAGGCAGCCGGGAGTCGGGCACACAGGTCGCGGTTGACATTCCAGCCCGGTTCTTGCCCGGGGCAGTTCAAACTGCCGTGTGGGTGTGGGAGGGGGGCTCTCTTGGGGAGAGACTCTGTCGGGGCCTCTCGGCAGCCTTGTGCCTTGGAGCCGGAGGAGTATAGCGAGAGCCCAAAGGGCCGCTCCTGGGGGCTGTGGCGCGAGCAGGGGGACGTGCGCTTGTGGGTCGAAGAGGCTCGGGTCGTTAAACTGCGTCCTGTCCCTGCAGAAGAGGATGGAGCAAAGGGGGGTTCCATGGAACCTGAAATGAGCTTCGTGCAGGCAAATCCACATCTCGGTTTTATGGCGTAGCGGTGCCCACCGGCTCTGCGGAATTTTTCTTAAGGCTAAGGCACTTCCTCCTCCCGCCCTGGGGACCTAGAGCGCCTGAGGCAGAGGGGGAAGAGGAAGGCGGGGGGGCTGTACGTGGTTGCGGTGCCACCGCCGTCTTGCCTGGGGAAACCCGGGGCCTGCACCGGGCAGCTGGCTGCTGTGGAGCCGAAGTGTGAGTTGAAGGGAGAGGTCTGGAGGAGTTAGGTAAGCGTGGGGGGGGGCGGAGGGGTCCAAGCAGCATTTGGGAGCCTGTCCTGGGGTGCTTCCAGGCCTCCTGGGCCAGGGGCTTCAGAACCCCTCGAGCTGCCCCTCGAGGGAGGAGTGAGATGGGGGGGCTCTGTCGGCTTCTTGGCAGCCTTCTCCCTCTCTCCACCACTGGCTAGAGAGAGGGAGGAAACGCAGCCCTCTCCTAATGGTGCTGGCGGGGAGTGAGGCATATGGGGGCCGTGTCCTTGGTTAGACAGTGGCTAGAGGAACTTCCAGGACTTGCCACAAAAGGAGGCTGGCGTGGGGGGCTAACGCCGAGTAGCTGCCGGCCTGTAAAGGGGGATGCACGAATTACGTGGTGCCCCGGATCGTGGTGGGACCTGAACTGCCCCCACTTGCAGCCTCCTTGGGGCTGGAGGGCGGCCTTGCCCCCGGCAGCTTCCCTTTTGCCGGCCGAACGGCCCAGCAGCACAAAGGGGCGTGCGGAGAGCACACAGGCCGTGGTGCCTCGGCACGCCGCGGATAGAGACTGGTGGGGTTCCTAGGCCTGTTGCTACGTGGCGTCCACACGCAGGACACGTGGGTGCTTGTTTGCTCTTGCGGAGACGGGCGGGGGCGTTAACCTGGGGGGGGGGCG